ATTGCTCGTGAAGTGAGATAGCTCGCGGACAGACAGACAGACACGCACACACACCACAATTACAGTTAACCCTCGCTGCGCATGCGCGCCGAGGGTTACAATTAATAACGTGTCTTCATACCGTTTATCAGACTCAATGGCATGCCTGCATTCAGCAAGATGTTGCTGCTTGAACTCCAAACAAAGTGCTTTTACAGTTGAAGATAAGTCTGATTCCACAGGAATGTGCACACTTTCAATCTTGAAGAGTATCCGACGAACTCTATGCACACAAATGCAGTCACAGGGGTTTATAAAGAGTGATTTTTACCTCTTGTACAGAGCCATCCAGAACCAATGTCTTTCAAATCCAAAAACAATGAATACAAAAAATCCCTACAAAGTCAAATGTACGACAAGACTTTTATTGCACTCTCACTTTACATATGTAATACATACCTGACCAAAATTTGTAGTTGTGTCAAGAACATTGACACCAATGAATATGCCACTAATTTCCCCACTGATCAGCTTCCATAAAACAATTAAAATACCCTGTAAGTGTGATTGTAAGGATAATACTATATATGGGGAAGATGGGCAATCTGTAATAATTATTACGAGGCTGGGACAGTACATGCAGATCCATAGCAACATACCACAAGGCAGGAAAAGAGTAAAAAGAGAAGTAGTAGTAAAAACTGCATTGTGGAAGATTTGTGGCTGTCACTGGAAGTTGATTGAAGCAGTGGTGTTTGTTCCAGCCTTGAATCGACTTCTTCCCGTGTTTCAACAACACGCTTGGTTCCTCCTAAACTCTGTAGCGAACAACTACTATCAGAAGCCTTTGAACTGCGTTCCCTGGTACTCTCTAAGAAGTTATTCGTTGATCCGTAACTATTGGGTATTTGAGTGTGGTTTTCATTATAATTCTCCTTTTCATTTTGCTTAGTTGCAGTAGAAGGTATGTTTCTCTCTTGATTCATTATCTTCAGTGCAGATGCTACCATGAAGAATAGTCCCACAATAAAGCTGAACAGTAGTGTTATGGCCGATACAACAAGCTGAAAATGGAAAAAGTGAAGATTTTGATCTCGTTGCTTTACTAAGAGTAGGTCGGACACCATGCATAATTTGACAGTCTTCCCAGGCCAACAAACAAGCATCTTTCGCTTTTTTATTGAAAATACTAATCATAATTATGTACCAAGTCTATGCGGATGTGTGCTGCTGTTAAAGTAACGGTCAATCCACTAACGGTCGCCTGGTAAATGCACAAGCCAACTAGTCAGTGATCTAACCAGGTGTGATGAAAGAGGAATTCAAGTCCTGCTGCCGATTTCTCTTCTAATATTCGGTAACACTGCTACTTCAGTGGTCAAAAATAAAAAAATGCAAATGCTTATAGTTTCCTATTTGTGTTTTCAAAGTTATGCTCTACTCCACACTTGCTGTACAAAAAAGAGAATCCCTTTAGTAGTGCTACAATGAGTGAGTGCCCTGGACTGTCCATTGATACGTGGTGTTTGACTTTTAATGCACTGTACCTCAACATTTCCAAACAAGAATGTGCTATCCACTGTACTGTCATGAAGTTTGCTGGGATCCACTGTGCAGATAACCACCATTACGACTGTTACCACAATAGGAACACTGCGTTAGAAAGAACGGGTGCCAGTAGCCAATGTTCAGTAAGAGGAAGACGTAATTGCAGCAGTCAATTGACTACTAGGAATGCGCACGCGCATATTTTGCCTCGCGCCTGCCAGCCAATGCGTAAACAGTCCGACTGAGGCCGCTCGTGCTCGCGCTCTACTGACTGCGCGCGAAGCCAGACTTTCCACGAATCTGCGCGCACGGCGGAAGCTAGACTTCCTACGAATGATGGAAGTTGACATTCCTAAGCATGACTAATTAATTGACATTCTTAAGCGTGACGACACATACGTACGCATATCGCGAGAATACAACCCGGAGTAGTTGCCTCACGTTAACGCGTTCGGCAATTACAAATGCATGTATCACAGGAATGTCACACAGCAGACATGGTTTATGGAGAACACTAAAGGTCTAGAGGCACGAAATACCTCCCCTGTTCTTTTGTAAACTCATAATATGCCACAAAAAGAGGTTCCCAAGCATCACCATTAACTTACAGTACAAGCCAAATGACACATTGGTCTTGTATTTAGAGAACTAGACTTTCCCAAGTAGGAAAGACAAAACATCATTATCTTAGCTTTCAATGGTTTTTGCCTAATTGGCAAGCTTACTCAGCAGCCAGAACACAAATAGGTCTATAGGCAAAACAACTTTATCACCGCTTTCAAGTTGGGCTTATTTGTCAGTGATCGGAAAGTTGACAACTAGTTGACACAAGAGAGGAATTTGTATCCGAAAAGGACAGCCCTTGCAGCTACCATAGCACATAATGGAATTATTTTGCAATCATGTGGCTTGTGCTTCAGGACTGCATGGCCGGCAGGCCAAATTATACATCGTTTGTTTCGAGAGCAGAAAGCATGAAGTTAAGTCTCTATGCCCACAACTCTGGCAATACACAGTAGCACTTTTTTCTCTCACAAGTATATAACACAGCTCCTAAAAAGAGTACAGTTAATATATATAGCATGCCTAACTTACCCCCATGCCGACAGCATGAGAGGTATCCACAACTTTTCTGCTACCTGCTGTCTTTTGTACAGCAGCAATGTTAGTCCTAAGGCTATCCAAGCAGTCCAGATCCGACTAGCAAGTACACCGGGGAAGAACAGGGAGAATGCAAATATTTGCCAGTAAACTTGGTGTTCCATTGTAAAGAGTGCCAGCAAGGATCCACCAACTGCCTCCAAAATCTGTTAAAATACAGTTAATGAGAGATGAATGTAAATCCTTATCAACAAATGTATGAAAATATACTCACCAAGGCTGCCATGTAGTGCATAACCATAACATGTAAATATGAACGGTATCTTCGAGCACAGATGAACAGAAGGTATACCCAAGCCTGTAGAATAAATCCTTAGTAAATTCATGACCTTTGATCACATGATTGTGTGTTGTGCATGAACTAAAAGCCACTCTGTATCACACTTATATGTAGGTATGTAGCACTATTTGTTGGATATCCCTAAGCAACCGACATGTATGAAGCTACGTACTGGGGAGTTTTATGAGCATATACTATCCCGCGTGATGTAAGGTGGGTTCATACATGTCGGTTGCTAGGGATATCCAACAAATATATTGCAGTGCCCAGACAGGACAGCATGAGCCCTGTAAATACATATAGCGTTCACCTGAGCCCCAAAGTGGTGGTGTGAAACTGTTTATACAGGCACCCATATGGCCATACAGTGACCGATAATGCGGTGGGTGTTAGCGTTTTACAATTGGATGTAAAATAAAGGAGTTATGACAATTTGTCGAGGGCTCAGGTGAAGTCAAATAGACTTTACACGAACCAGGCCTATTAGTGCAACAGCTGTGACATCTCTTCGTGTGTTCTCTATGATATGGTCATACTGGGCATCTGATGCTTTAGTGATAAGTACCAGGCGGGCTGACACATACATGATAGGAGCAGACATGAAGGTACAGAGAACAATTGAAGAAGCAACCTGTAATAAGACATACGCATAACCCTAACCACGGTAGAGTCTCTGCTGTTACTTACAACATCCGTGGCAATATTGTACTGGTTAGAAAACACAAACACAGTCGGTGCTGTTGGGAAAGTTCCATACAGGAATCCAAACGTTGAAATGTTACTTCGGGACTCTGTGATATTACCACTCTCATGAGGAAGTATTAGATACAAAACCCGATCAGCCACTATGGGCAACAGTATCCTATAGAAAATAGTGATATGCGTGTATAATGATAGGCACATGCATAGTCATCATAGGAAAGAGTTGGCCTGAAACCCATGCATGAAATTCTAGTGATTTGTTTGTCTAACGTTTTAGCAAAAATCAGCAGAGCTGAAATGATGATAAGCATCCCAGTTGTTTTCTTCACTTTTCCAACCATGAAAATTCCAATTTGTAGAAGAGCGCAGGCAGCATAAGCATTTCCTAAAGTGGTTAGAAAACCGCCCAACCAATGTGGAATGTTCCTTTGACTGCTCTCTCTGCCGTGAAATACTCCAAAGTGAACTACCAGATTATAGACAATGCCAGTTGCAGTCATGAATACAATTGGGTTCAACACCACCTGAGGGAAGTGAAAAGAAAAGATCACAGGTTAGGGAGACATGACACAACATAGTGTACACACCCCTTTCAGTGTATTGAAGAGAAGTTTAGGTACATATCTGAAGGAAATAGGTTTCTTGTGAGATTGTTTCCAATATTCCATCATTAGGAAGCCAACAGGATTGATAATGACAAGTGAGATGGGAGCAAGCAAGTACATGTAACTTGCATAGTTAAACTGATCCCCTTCTGACACTGGTCCATACAATGCCTGAACTGTATCAGCAAATAAACAGTAGGCAGCGTGTTGTAGCACCTCAGTAACAGACTTACCAATGGGTAGTCCAAGAGCAAAATCATTGGATTGTGTGGTAAATATACCAAAAAGACCTGCTTTTCCAACATTCTTTCGTGATAGGATTAGTGTCAGAATAACTGTAAGTATAAAAACGGATAACTTTGCAATCAGAATCCCTGACATGAATCTCCAGTCGATGGCACCGAGATTCAGCGTGGCAAGGTTCTGGAAAAGCAAGGCCGGCAGTGCAAGCTTGCCCACTAGTTCACTTATGGCACGGGCCTCTCCAGGAGGGATGATTTTAAAGAGACCTATCAAATATCCAACTAGGATGACTGCAAAGGACTGTGCAATTGCTGGGAACAAGTTATTGACAGTAGGTCCTGCCGACATGGTCACCTGCAACGTGAGAAAATATGCAACTGTATAGCTATAGCTCTTTAAAATCGGAGCGTAACTATATAGAAGGCCAGAAGGTAGAATTTCCAGAAACGAGAGAGATGATCGCACAGGACAAATAAAGAGGCGTGGCTTGTTATACTCGCGCATGCGCATACACACATGCAGGGGCGGGCGGTGTGAGAGAGAGGAGGGAGAGAGAAACTACCAGGTAGGAACATTACTACTTAGGTAACAGAGTCAGCACTGTCAATTCCTTTAGGTCCCACCTGCAGGATTCATTCTGGCCCAAACTAATCTGCTGCCACCTCTGCAGGTATGCAATAAGGTTTGGCATGTATTAGACCCTGTACTTACTCCAATGTACTACCTTCTAACAAAGCATGTATGAGCAGATTACATAATTTTTGTATGCAGTGTTATTGGCCTGGTGGGAGTGAGTTATGCAACATAATCGTCTGAATGGCAGAATTTTCTGTGTATTATATGTATGTCCTGCGTTGAACAATGTTTTGAAGGTGAACAGGTGCTCCCACTCGCAGGAAAAAAACGCCCTGCATTCACCTACTTGTATTGATACTCTTATACGTTTTTTGTTCTTGAGCCTTTTAATTTTATTTAAGAAGAAGCACAAAACTACCTATGTATAATAGCACAGCACTACCGTAGTTGTCGGCCATTATAGGTGGTGTGTATCTCGTCCCGCCCATGAACATGCAAATTATTAAATTAAGTACATGTATGTAGGAATGAAATTTGCAGTCTTCTGGCAAACATAAAAAATTTCCACCACAGAAACTAAGCATGTACATTACATGGATATAAACTTGAAAAATGGTAGAGGGGAGAAGAAATGTACTGCATACAGGAGATATTGTATAGTCCATCATTCCTGGTTGTTCTTGGGAAGATAAAGTTCTTTAAGTGCACGAAGTTCTCCAATAAGAGCTTGGTTTTGACTCTCCAACACTGCCACCCTGTTTTCCAGGCACCGTACATACTCTTTTTTCTTTCGCCGGCATTCACGAGCTGCTTCCCTGAAACGTACATTCATGTGGGTGCGTGGAGAGAGTTGGCATGCCATAAAAGACACTTTTTCACCCACCCGCCGCGGTTTTTAATGCCGGGCACCTGGTGTCCTATATATTTGTGTGTGTGCGTAAGTGTGTTGTTTGTAGAATTTCTTACTTGGGTGGAGGGTGATTTGGGGTTCCTGGTATGCTATATATATACACAATTGTTTTTTGTCATGCAGGAGACTGCCATGTGCTTCCCACCTGTTTTTCATGAGACGTATCTCTCGTTTCTTTCCCTGCTCATCTGGCACTGCTTGGCCACCCAGGGGAGGCTGGCCTGGACTGCTGGTCAGGGAACTCGTGTTCACACTCAACATGGATGGATGGCCTTTGGTGTGAGGAAAAAACCAGAAGAGATACGTATGTAGTAGGGGCTAGGCGTAATCGTAATTGTACATTACCAGAACTGGCAAGGATGGAGTTGGTGGCAGAGCTGTTAGAGAGAGAAGCTGCCATGTTGATAGCATTAGAGAGAATGGAAGCAGGGATGTTCGTTTGCCCAGCTAGAGATTGAACTGAACCTGTCGTGATATAAATCTGAACACAGTCGTTTGAACTCAGCAGAATAATGCTCACCGGCAATCAGGGGTCCTGGGTTATTTGATGCAGCACTCAGAAGCGCTGACTGTAGCTGGAGCTGCAGCATCATTATAACAATTTTACTATCATCCATCTTAATATTTGATTTGTAACATTACCATACTGTAGGTCATCGTAATTACACAAAGCTATATACAGTCTATATATGTCAGCAGGGCGCACACAGTTATAGAGCTCACACTCTGTTGCAATACAGTCTACGTCAGCATGGCACACACAGTTATAGAGCTCACACTCTGTTGCAATACAGTCTACGTCAGCATGGCACACACAGTTATAGAGCTCACACTCTGTTGCAATGGCTGCATCATTATCTGATGTGGGATGGGGACGTTACTTGTGGAGGAGGGAGTAGAGATGCCAGCAGCAAGACTCTGCATGCCTTGCAGGAGACCAGGGATCAAGGCATGATTTGCCAGACTACCAGCAGCAGCCTGATGCAGTGCTGCTGCCTATAGACCAGGGAATATACAGTTAATTAAGCAATATATATATATATATATATATATTATATACACACAACATTTGACAGTGAAGCCTCCACACAAGGGAAACATGCATTTTCTATGTCTACATTTACGCGTGTTTGTCAGTAGCATTTCATTTGCAGATGGTTATATGCCATATTATCCAAGCCAAATCTTGTGCTTATCATTACTACATACATACGTACCTGCTGGGCCTGTAGTGTAGCAGCAGCTGCAAGAGCTAGAGGATCAGTCCCTGCAGCCTTTAGTGTAGCATCAGCTGAACTAAGATCATCCAGAATTCTCCTACATACATGTGATAATAATATGACATTACACCATGTCTTGTAAGGTTTCAATCAGCAACACACCTACCAAGAACCTTACCTCACATAGATCAATGGAACAACTTACACATGGCACAGCTCAATACATCACTAATTAAAGCACGCACTAATATTGAAGCATGGCTAGCAAAAGTTTACAAGAAAAGTCTGCATGTAGTTTGCCCAACACAACTTCCTCCACCTGAGTCGCTCCATTGAGTAAAGCATTCGAGAAAACGAAGTACATGTACACAGAATGAACACCATGTGAAGCACATTCAATCATTTTCTACACGTAGATGGTCACATTACAACATGGGAAAATTGACCGACATTGATTTATTGTGATGTCAACACATAAGAGAGACTGTGGTCGAGCTATGTGTTAATAGTGGTGGAGCCTGGACAGCTTGGGGGCAACAGAAAGACAGTTATCAATGAAAAGCACTACCGTGCAAACCCTCGGCGAACTGCCGCATGCGAGTACCGCCAATTGATGGGCTGAGCTATTTCGTGGTGGTCTCCCGCTAGTAGCTCGCGGAGAGTCTGACACAGGCTAGCTACAGTAGTAGATAGCATGCGGGAGTCGATACACGCCCTTCGTTGTGACTTCTTGTGCCTTCAAGATACACATAGCAAGCGGGCCCTGTCGAGGTAAGCTTGTGCTAGAAATAGCATTTAACCGCATGCGCATTTCCACAGCGATAAAATGACGACTACTGGCATTAGCCGTACAATGGTGGAAGCACTCTAGCTTTGCAACGGAGCATTTTCAGAGAAAACCGCACAAACCTTTGCCCATTAAATAGGTCGTATCGTTTGTGAGACGAACGAACATTCGAGAAGTGAGATGTAAAGTAACAGACACACACACACACAGACAGACCCAACTACTGTAACCCTCGCTGCGCATGCGCGCCGAGGGTTAAAAACTCTATGGAGTATTATAAGGGCTAAATATTTAGAAATGTTACTAAAACATAACTCAATTGCATTCTTTTAACTGTGTTTCTAGCTCTATCTTTAGTAACATTTTAAAATTTAGCCCTTATACACTGCTTTAACATACAAGTATAACCTGCCATCTTTCTACATGTACTGACTTAAAAGAAGGGCGCCGTGCCAGCTGCTCGCTCGAGAGTGTAGGTAGGTCCTCATCATCTTCCTCAATGTCTCCGGTGCTGGAAGTAGATGATGTAGCACCACCAATCGTCTGGGAGCTCTCCTCAGTTGTTATCTCTACGTGTATACCTAACCGTGTTTGTATAAATATTTCAATACACCATACAAAAGAGGCATTCTCCCCTGGGATGTTTCTTGTAACTATTGGCTTCTACAACATACAAATGGAACAATCAAAAGCGCTTAAGCACATGCACTCGATGAAGGCGCCAAGAGGTTTTTACAAAGGGTACATAAATGTACATCCATAAAATCCACCTTGCGGACAGGTGCCATGTCACAGTACATGCCATATTGGCATGAAATGCATCTTATGCAGCAAAGCAGCAGGGAGGGGAAAGGAAGGTCATAAAGGGAGGGGAGTGTGTGTGAAAGAGAGAGAAAGATAGAGGTGCGAGGGAGGGGGGAGCTTTGCCTGTACTGATGTACCGTAACACTTGCTGCACATTTGCACTGAGAATTAGGATACTATGGTTTCTGCCCTTGACCTTACCATCTGCAACATTATCCACTGATCCAGACACTTGCTCTATCCTCAGCCCAGACAAATTGTTTTTACCCTCAGACTTGGTCTCCATAAATCCTATTCACTGTTGCCATAAAAGAGCAGAAATACCTGAACATGCTATAATACATAGGGAGGATAATTAACCCTCGGCGCGCATGCGCAGCGAGGGTTACGGTAGTTGTCGATGTCCCGTAAGTGTCTGTCAGTCTGTCTGTCCGTCTGTCTGTTACCACGTTTTCTGCCACCACGCGCACAAAATCAGGTAAATAGCGATATGATCGGGTTCAGTGCTACACTGGGTTGATTTTAAAAAAGGCGATTTTCGTAAAACGACTGTGTTTTAAAGTTATGGCGTGAAAACCAAGTGAACAAGCCAATATGTAAATTAGCACAGGCTTACCTCGACCGCGTCCGTTCGCTCTGTGTCTTGAAGTCACAACGAAGGGCATGTATCGACTCCCGCATGCTATTTACTACTGTAGCTAGCCCGTGCCAGACTCTCCGCGGGCTACTAGCGGGATACCACGAGAAAAGGCATAAAAAGTCCAGCCCATCAATTAGTGGTATTCATCATGCACCAGTTCCTCCTCTTCTAGCTCTTTTAACACTTCTGAGGTTGGTTGGTTGCTCTTGCAGTATCTTACACCTGCAACTGGGACCACACTTGTTTCCCATTTAACACATTTGTGTGTGGAGCTAACACACTCTTATGTGATTCGTCACAGGTGCTTAGTAGCAATGTTGGAGTAATATCATGTATTCTGATAAGTTTTACTCAGTGCTGTATCTAGCAAGAGCTTCTGATGAAGGGTTAGAGTCTGCTATGGTCCAAAGATCTAAACTCATCATGAGAGTGTGATCCACATTGGTCCACATCATCCCTTATAGTTTCAGTGACTACAGCAGAAGAGGTGTGCTGGTTCTAATACCGGCCTAGCCGAAATCACTACTTGAGCAGTTCTTCCTCAAGCACCTCAGTCCATTACTGGGTCAGGCTGGCACTCGGACGAAAGACTAGCTAGCTACATACACTGACAAGGTGTATATCTTACACCCCGCGCGCCTCGCGCGCGTATGGTCGCCTTAGCTTAGTCCATATCGCGCTGACCCACGCTTAGCCTGGCAACTTATACAAACCTTGTGATTATCACTTTCAGGGACTACGTCAAATGTCGTCCTCCTTGTGTCGTAAAAAGCCCAGTCGGACAACTTCGGTCAGGTAGCGTCACAGTGATGGCAGAGACCGGCGAAGAAAGCCACCCTTGCTTCCGTCACATTCCTTCACAATGACGAAATTGCGTCATGATTCCTTTTTCGGATCGCGGGCCGGCCGGCCGGGGCGGGGCCGGTATCGGCGCGGCGTGCGCTTACGCCCGGCGCGCGCCGGGGGCGGGGCCGGGGCCGGGGGATGAGCGCGCGGTGGAGGTTTAGATAGCAGGGGGCCGGGCCGGGGGTCGGTGACGACGCACACGCATGCGCAAATAAAAAAAGGCGCGGGGACAGCGACTGACACATAATTATGCAGTGCCAGCAGTGGTGTAACACTAGACCGGCGTTAAGCAGACTCATTCAACTCTTGAGCTGCCCTCTTTGGTATGTGCTCACTGCTTGTTCTAAATTACGTACTGTCTATGTGTTCCTAGTGATTCGCTGATGAGTGACCCTTGTGTTCTCAACAACTGTAACCACCATTTTTGTAGGTGAGATTGTATTGTTGTGTGCCCCTCATACAAAGCAGGATGGTAGGATTACTGACCAGGGAGGATCCTAGATAGTGCCGAACAATCCAACATGAGGCGTTTGCTTCTTTTTTCTTGGCTCTATTGTGATCTGGCACCAGCTATTTTAAAGCGAAAAGCACTAAAGTGCACACCCTCGGCGAACTGTGGTACAATGCGTGGTCTCCCGCTTGTAGCTCGTGGAGAGCCTGACACGGGCTAGCGGCAGAAGTACATAGCATGCGGGAGTCAATACACACCCTTCGTTGCAATTTCTTGTGCCTTCAAGATGCACAGAACAAGCGGGCCCGGTCGATGTAAGCCTGTGCTAATTTGCATACTGGCTTGTTCACTAGCTTTTCACGCCATAACTCTTGAATGCAGCACTTTTACGAAAATCACCAAATTTAAAATCAGGCCAGTGTCCTATTGGTATCATTCTCATTGCGCGTAGTGGCAAAAAGCATGGTAACAGACAGACAGACAGACACACAAACGGACCAAGTACAGTAACCCTCGCTGCACATGCGCGCTGAGGGTTAACTAAGTACTGGCCTAATCATTGTGGAGACTAGTCTCGCGTAGCCATCCCCTTTCCAAAAAGAGAGAGAGGGTCTGGTCTGCTTAGCATCTTAGACTTTTGCCTGTGGAATGTGCAATGACATAATCATTTAACGTTCAAATACGTGCATGCGCACATTGGGATGTATACGAATGACTCTACTTGTTCATTTCATGCTAACTACGACCAAGTACAGTGGAATCTCATTAAAGTGAACTCAAGGGGACCGCCTCAATATTTCGTACTAACAGGAGTTTCATACTAAAAGGAATTGTCAGAGTAACACCGAAAAATAATCCGTAATGTGTTTGTACATGTGCATGAGGAAGGGTATTTTCAAGCATTGCAATGAGAGCAATTGCTTCCTTTCCTAAAACAGGTTCTTTTGACTCAAAGTATATCTTTAGAACCTGTAGAAAACACTACACTAAACACCTATTGCTGACTTAGATTTCTTGCCTCTTTCAACAGCCTTGACTTCTTGGCTAGGGATATGGGGCTGGTGACTGCAGCTAGGTTTGCACTAAAGCCACGTGTCAGCTTGTAGAAACCCACTTAGTGCACTCCAAGGACCACAAAAGTGGTTCACATTAACGGTGGTTTCACACTAAGGTATTCATACTAAATGGAGCATGCAACAATAGCTTACTAGGCGCAGGGGATTTTGCAACCGTTCATTAACCCTCGGCGCGCATGCGCAGCGAGGGTTACAGTACTTGGTTTGTCTGTCCGTCCGTCTGTTACCACGTTTTCTGCCACCACGCGCAACAAAGAGGTAACAAAGAGGTAAAAAAATGACACCAACGAGTTCAGCGCTACACTGGCGTCATTTTAATAGTGGCGATTTTCGTACAAGTGCTGCATTCGAGAGTTATGACGTAAAACCATGTATCGACTCTCGCAAGCTATCTACTACTGTCGCTAGCCCGTGTCAGACTCTCTGTGAGCTACTAGCGGGAGACAACGAGTAAACGCCTTATAGCCCAGCCCGGCCCTGCCCATCAATTCAATCAATCAATCAATCAAGCATTGCACGGACCCACTAGGGCATGGTACATAGGTACGTACATTCATACACAAGTCAGACAAAACGTGTGGAGAGCGAAGTCGAGCTGTACAGTACAGAATGAAGTGCAAACCCTCGGCGAATTGCTCTGTCTGCAAAACGACACTCACCAGTTTTTTTTCAAACTGGTCTCACCTGGGCCTTCTGTGACATAATACGTATTATCCTAGTAAACTATGGTATGCTAGCACATGGTGTTTACCACCTCCACACAGGGAAGCAGCTACACCTGGGGGGGTGCTTATCTGTTGGCTTTATATTTGATGCCAAATTAATATGAATACAAACCCTCAGTGCACCAGAAATGCATGCATTGCACTCATAAACGCTTGGACTCAGATCAGAATTGTTAATAGATGGGCTGGCCTACACTATATCTCACTAGTTTGCTGAAGTAGCATCTCGAGACTCGGCATCGGTCCCTCTATTGTAATTTCTGACGCTTCCACAGTAGTATAGTACACAAGTACATGAAATGCGGTCGAAGTACATAACCGGGTGGTAATCATTTGGTTTTCTCGCCGTTACTGTTGACGAAGTGTTTTAATAAAGAATAGAGCCATTATGTTAGTATCGCTTTTTGGCTGCCTTTTGAGCATGGTGGCAGAAAATGTCATAGCAGACATACAGACAGACACACTCACTCACGGACTACGTATAGTCAACCCTCACTGCGGATGTGTGCCGAGAGTTAAAAAGTATGAACCATCCAAAAATAGCTGTTGATGGTTGCGTTGCTTTTTCCTGACATAACAGGTTGCAGGTCAAGCATTCACTTCCCTCTTTGTTTCATTAGGAGGTGTATTGAGTGGTCAATATCAGAAAAGCAAGCCAGCTGTCCCATCTGCCTTCTGCCTGCTTGGGCGAAAGATGTCAAATCTGATCGGCAAATTGGCACCGTTATAGGCTGTGTGTCTTCTATGGATAGCCACATTTTGCAAGGTGACGATATGGAGGTATTATTTTTAATTCTATAGAGACTCATTGCTACGATACTAATAACAATTATTTTTGTTGAACCTATTCATCATCCTAAGTAGTTTTTCAGTTGGATATGCGGCCAGCCAATGCTTTATCCACTTCTATACATACAAGGAGGTATGAGAGACAAGATATCTCAGTGTTTTACATTGCTGTTATGCACTAATCAATTGCATGCCTCTCCCACCCATCATGGGGCAGGTCGGGAATTACATACACTTCACAAATAGCTAATGCGCCATATCATCCAGTGACCATACCCCCACCACCCCCCATCTTTCCCCATTATGCAGGTAACTGGGACAAGAGGTTTACTATACTTCGCTACAGAAAACAAAAAAATTAACCACATGATCCACAAAAGAGTTTATTGCTCTTTGAAACATTTACGCATTTCACCATCGAACCACATGTTACATGCTATCCACCACTGTGTCACCATACAAAGCTTTGCAAATGCCACATGGGTAAGACTTCTTACTTCTATGACTTGTCTTTTCTTCACTCTCTTTCCCTTCACAAATTTCCAGCTCAAGTTCGCGTTTTTTCTCTCTCAGAGCTCATTCATTTCGATTTTCATCAGATGACTCATCATCTTCTATTTCTCTGGCTTGTCTTTTCTTCCCTCTCTTTCCCTTGTTCACAAATTCAAGTTCGCGTTTTTTTTTTCTCTCGGAGCTCTTTCGTTTCCATTGTTAACTGTTCACACAAGGAATACTTCTTGGCAGTCCCCGCTAGTGTAAGATTAAGACGTTTCTGCTTGAATTGGAGAATGCATTTATGTACTCTCACCGGGTGCTTTGGTCTTGGGCCTTGTTGCTTGACCTTGCTTGCGAGACGAATGTCTACGATGGCATTGAAGTTGTACATCACAATAATTGTTTCTTTGTCTGCTACACATTTCTGAGCAAACTCTAAGCGTTTCATTTTGTTGGGCTCACGAACCGGTTCGCAATAACGAGAACTCGAAAGGTCCATCCCAATTCTTTGCGCGACAATGCTTAATAGTTGCTAAAATCCAGATCGATTGTAGCTGTGTAAGCTGTAGTTTCGTCATCTAATTGCATTACTGCTTCCACAATCTGGTAAATTGCCAGTGATATTTTGCTGCATCTCCCAGACCCTGGTTTTCACACTAAACTGTGACTTCTTTCATAGTAACGAATAAAGCGGTTGATGGCTTGTCGTGACACCGTAACTGCATATTCCCTTCTCAATGTCGTAGCTCTGCTAAGTCCTGCTGAATTCAGTTGCAGTATCGTTCTTCATAAGTGAACATGCAAGCGTACACTAAAAATGACCTTGGGTGAGACTGGAAGTGCCCCGCCATCCCCTATACTTGGCCACAGGCTACTCCTGGGCGATTATACTCACCCCCTCTGTCTCCCCGATTTTGGGAGGGAGAAAAACAGCTACCGCCCGATTCTTTGCCACCTCGCGCGCGGTAACATGCCGCTGCTTTAGCTACACGTGTTGTCTTGTGTCCTGCGCATGCGCCACCCTCTGCTCTGCGCATGTGCCACTCTCTGCGCATGTTCCACTCTCTGCGCATGCGCATTAGCCGGAAACACCCCTATTAACCTGGGTTAATGGTTCCCACTAACTCTCATAAGTCCATCCAAACTACAGGTGAAGTACATCACACCACTCTAATGACAATACATTGCAAAACTGTAGTTGGTGTAACTGTATCTCACTGTGCCACTATAATGAAAAGCACTCGAAAGTGCATAACCCTCGCCCGTGTTGATTATGGAGCTCCAATAGTAGTCTATTAGAGCTACATTCAGCAGCCAATGGTTATACCTCAGTGACAGAGAGACAGACACACTGCAACTACCGTAACCCTCGCTGCGCATGCATGCCGAGGGTTAATAATAGTGGGCACAGTATGTCAATTTTCTTTTGAGCAGTACTGTACAATGGTTTTTGGCTTGCAACCTCCTGTTTTGAAAAAGTAGGGCTTAGAGGGTGTACAAGTATTTAGCACATGACTTTACAGTTCTGTGGATCAGGCCTGCAGCAGGCATAGACCAGTTGACACTTAAACAACTAGCCCTTAAACTTTAGCCTGCAGTACCTCATCCTCATTGTTTAATCCTTCAAGTTCCTTTCACATCATGCATGCATTTTGCAGTAAAGGATGGCAGAAATACTTTGACCCTGACAATGCTTGTTCATGGAAAGCCTCTGCCTCACATTTATGTCCATAGTAAGACGACGTACAGTTGTCCTTCTATAATGTGAAGTCATTCTAGCCGATGAGCTGTCGGTCCTTGTATATACTGTTATAACCCAAGAATATGCATTGTGCTCTTCTACCATTTCAGCAACAGCTAGGAACACTCATGGTGATAGTTGTGGTAACCCTATCAGAAGAAAACTGAAATCCCGGAGAGGGATGCGTCAACAATGCTTGATGTTTCCTCCAGTCTCTAAAACATGCGAGCCATCGCCAGTGTGCTCTGAGAAAGGGCCAAGCAGCAATAATGGTACAGTAGTACGTAGTTTGCATACGTCAGTGTGCTTGTGAATAACGAAATAACAAGGTAAAGGCAAATTAAACAATTACTTGTAGCTCACCTTTCATGTACTGGTCTTCCTTGTCGTCCATGAGTTAAAAATGTAAGTATTTCAGAAAATTAGCACCAAAGAAACCACTGGTTATTTCACCTATCCACTAGGACTACAGAATGGGCTGGTTGCTTACACTGAAACTCAGATCATTATCCTCTTTTGTTCATCAATGAGAACACCAGCACAATTTGTGCTTATTTTAGGATTAAAGCCTGATTATAACCTTTAGGGAGTATGTTTATAGTGTTTGTATAATTATGGGTGCAATACCATACCTACTGCATGCTAGGCTACATATGCTACATATGCTACATGTATGGTGTGAAAAATGCTAGTTAGAACTGGCTTGCACACATTTACTAGTATTTTGTGTTTAACATTGTGCCGTTGATGGGAAGTTTTGCCGTAAAAGAAGTAATCTAGCTATACAGTCAAGAATCCGACGCTCCAAATGCATTATCTGGTGTGCTCATGTCCATCAATGAAGGGGTGGTACTTTCTGCACATGAATCAAGGTGTTGCAACCCGGGCTCTCATATGCATATAAATATCTTGCTTTAGGTCTCAGATAACTTATTTTAACAATGCAGCCCGTCCTCGGAAAACACCCAAATTAAAGCAAAGAAATATCCGTGGTGAAACACCACTCCACATCGCTGCAATCAAGGTAATAGTACCATTAACCACACACCAGTAATGGGCAGAGACTTTAGCTGTAAGATTCACATTTTATGTGGAGTAAACTGCTGGTTATTTGCACTCTCTCATTCTCGTCATCCTAACATCGGATGACTGTGGGATGTAACAGAGAGGGCTACAACAGTAGTCTGTTTTTAGCCCTGTGCGTATAGTATAGTTGATCCACTCTCAAAGCATACGCCTGCGTGTATGATATGGTCCAATGACCAATTCTCGGACACACACCACTTGCGTTCGACAATGCAGCATTTCACTGGAGTCGAAAACGTTCATTTTTTCTAGGGCTTTTCTATTACTACCAGGCTATCATTACCCTCAGTGCGCATGCGCAGCGAGGATACTGTAGTTAACCCTCGGCGCGCATGCGCAGCGAAGGTTACTGTAGTTGGGTTTGTGTGTGTGTCTGTCTGTCTGTCTGTTGCTCTCAATCTCACTTCTCGAGTGTTCGTTCATCTCACAACCTACTTAACGGGCAATGAAGGTCAGAAATTTCGAACGGTTTTCTCTGAAAATGCTCCGTTGCAAAGCTAGAGCGCTTCCATCATTGTATGGCAAATGCTGGTAGTCGCCATTTTATCGCTGGCGGTTAATGCGCATGCGCTTATATTTAGCACAGGCTTAGAGTAAGCCACCAA